TGTGTGTGTGTGTGTGTTGTGTGTGTTGTGTGTGTGTGTGTGATTGTGCTGTGTGCGGGCGGCGTGTGCGTGCGTGTGTGTGTGTGTGGAGTGCTGTGCTGCGTGGGTGCGCCGCTCGCGCGGCGCGCGTCGTTGTGTGTGTGTGTGTGTGTGTGTGTGTGTGTGTGTGTGTGTAGTGTGTTCTGCACGCATGCGTGTATGCGCGTGCGTGTTTATGTGTACATATGCGAATGATGTGTCAATATAGATCCTTGTATAGGCCGCAGGAGTTATGATGGTTTATATAATTTTTTTGATATCGTTATTAATTCATTTATACCCTACACATACTATAAGCCGGATGTGATATCAGTGGTTCTGATCAACCGTAAGAAGGAATTCAATGTAGCTTATTGACGATAAGTTGCAACATGGCCTAAAGCATAAAAAGCGCAAAGCTGTCACGCAAGCAAGGATGCAAGGATTTCGTGCAAAACGGATTTTCAATAGCATTGTCAAATATAACATTAACAGATATCATTTCATAAAATCGTTCGCGCCACGCACGTAAACCTGCGGCTAAATTTTTACAAAATTACAAGAGTGGGAAATCCGGTTATTTTCCACATAACTTTCTATTGTTGGTCATATTTCGAATACTCATTCTATTAATAACACTTTTCATACAAAAAAACTGTAGATATAAGAAAAATAATGATAAGGAAATTCACAGACAAGTAAAAAAACAGGATAATTAAAAGTAATTCTGTCACAGCTCTCTCTCTCTCTCTCTCTCTCTCTCTCTCTCTCTCTCTTTCTCTCACTCACTCTCTCTCTCTCTCAATGTCAAGGTAAAACTAACAAATTTCATGTAATCACGTGATTTTACTGGCAATATTGATTCCACGATGTGGTAAGGTTATGTGAATCAAGAATAACAAAGTATTTATTTATTGCAGGTAAACAAAAGGTTAGTCAATCTTTCCATTTTTACACATACGCAAAAGCAAAATATGTATAGCGTACTAATTTGATTACGGTTGTCATTCAACGGTCTACCCTAAGAATTAAAGACACGACGTCGACATAGAAAAGGAACACATTGTTATGATAATTTATACGTAATATTTACAAATAGCCGAATCACAACCACCACCATCACCACCACCACCACACCACCACCACCACATGACCACCACCACCACCACCACAACAACAACAACACAACAACAACAAACAACGACAACAACAACAACCAGGGCAGCAGCAGCAGCAGCACCACCACCACGCCGCACCACCACACCACCACCACCACAACAACAACAACAACAACAACAACAACAACAACAACAACACCACCACCACCACCAACAACAACAACAACAACAACAGCAGCACCACCACTACCACCAACAACAAACCACACGCACGCACACGGCACACGCACCCGCACCCCCAGACACTTAAATATGTTATATATATATATCAGGAGTAAATAAGCACAATTTAGGATTATTTACTCCTGACATATTATATATATATAGCACGAAGAACCAGAGTTACAGAGGTGTTACTAAATGTCGCTTATTGATCATCTATTTCATGCTCGAATTGCGAAAAAGCATAATCATTGTTGCGGTCGCGTTCGTCGGTGACGCGTTCCGCACGATCTGATTAAAGTATCCGTGCACGTAGGACTACGCACGGGCAGCGTCGTCGCTAACAGTGGTAATTTGCTCTCGCACAGCTCGTCTAATTACATCGGCCGTCATAATCTTTTGCTTGTTGGCGTGACCGTTAAGGCATGCTCATTATTCTTCAGCATCGCTGCCAGCGTGTACTCGAAACACACATTTCGCTTGAAATGTCTCCTAATCGATTTATATTACTCGATATAGTAGTGGGCGGCGGATTGAATAAAGCGCGTATTACCGTATGTGCCATGACAATCGAGACTAATCGAAATCTAGCGCGACTAATCAATCGAGACGAAACAGCGTGTTTGTTGTTTGCTTGCTGCTTGCTTGTTCATTCGTTCGTTTTGTTTGGCATGGATGCGTACGTACGTATATGCATGCCACATGTGCCTGGCAGTGCCTGCGCATACGTAGGTGTATTTAGAAAGTTCATCAAGTAGAAAGCTCGGGGTAAATCGCATTGTTTTTTTATTCTTTCTCTATTTTGACAGGTGTTTGTTTGTTTTTATTTACGTATTAGTCATCGTGGGACGCGCAGGTTTATTGCATTGTATGTATATTTCGTCATATGTGTGAAGCTTAATGAAGGGCTTACTCTAGTGTGCAAAAAAATGGACACCTCTTCTCTATCTTTATAATTATGTATGTAATGTTATTCATATGTGTACATTATATATATATATATTAATATATATATATATATATATATATATATATATATATATATATATCAGGAGTAGATAAAGGGAAGGAGTGTGACAACAATAAACAAGGGAAATTCGTCATTTACTAGCCTTTATATACCTACGATTTACTACGCGTAACTCATCCAACTTGAGCTCAAATCGGACACAGTACATTCGCCATCATCGTACAATCGTTTCCTCGTAGACACGCGCAATCGCGAAGATACAACCTAAAACATACGACACGATTCTCCAATCTTTGTCCATTAATCAACCGTAGAGCGCGCCTATGATTCAGACAAAAGGCAGTAACACTCGCGCCCAGCCGCTGCGTTTGCTCTGTTGGAATGTGGAATGTAGCATTGTGGCTCGCGAGAGATTGGACATCGACGCAACCATAGACGAGCTAATCATGACCTATTTGCAGCTAGTATGCCCCCCCAACCGCAATCAGCAGCAGCTCTGCGGCTCAGCGCCAGCGTGTATAACGCGTGTATAAACAATACGTGCTGTTACGTGCAATACGTGCGTACAATATACGTGCTGTTAGGCTCCTGCTCACGTGCAGAGGTTCGTGTACACGTTGCTATGACTATATTGCTGTCACTGGTCATGAAATAATAGTGTGGTACGATCGTGTATAAATTGAGAGATATATATCTATAATATATTCTGTAATAATCTGAAACTGTTCATAACTCATCTGAAATCATGGATAGCACACCAGTAGATGATAGGGCGGGTAGCAGTGCTCTTCTCAAACCACGACGATCCCATAAGACCCTAAGAGGAAAATAATTAGGCCGAGAACATAGCTATAGTGTGCATGGAACTCACACAGATAACGAAGTTACCTGAATATTGGCAAATTCCTTGCGCATAGCAATCTTTTCTATCCACAACGACTACAACACTGAACCAGCATGAATTTTATGATCAAGAGTCAGGCTGGTTGCTTCAAAGTATTGCCGAGAAAATTAAAGATTCCTGCCAGTAGGGTTGGAACCAATAAGTGTTGTAAATATAGTCGTAGAGGGAGAAGGGAAGTAGGTTTGCGAGTGTTAGAGGCTGTTGTGGAGGAGCAGCAGGATTGTATTGTCGCAGGCAATATATATGAGATATCTTTTGAAGACATGCTTAAGAAACTTATTACCTATGAACCCTGTTTAGGTTTGGATGAAGCAAAATATAAATCAGTTACTGGACATTTGCGGGCCCTAGCTTTCCACACATAGAACTTATTGCTCCACCGACTACGCTTAGCCATGCGGCGCTAGCAGAGTATCACTACAGCATAATGTGCTCCTCGAAACAACTCGGGTAATAGAAGGAAGCAAAAATGTTTATGAGAACAAGGACACCAGACGTGTGAGGTCGCTGTCTATGTGCTCAAGCAACACGACACGACACCGTGGTCGAGATGCAGCTCTTCTCGAACACTGCTTCTAATGTTAGCTGCTAATGCTGGCACGTCGGTGTCTTTAACAGCAGCACACACTTTCTTAATTTCGGCGTCTGTCAGAGCTACGATCTTTCGTGGTGTTTTTCGTCTTCTGTCTTTTCTAGGATTATTCTTACGCGGTGCCATGTTGATATTTCACTTATCGCATAGATACTAACCGAAGTTGGGTTAGTATCTATGCTTACCGGCTCTAGCGAGAAAACAACAGAACAAAACAGATGTTCCGGCGTCGCTGCACGGCTCACAGGCTCGCAGCATACAGGCTACAATAGCACTCGCCCGTTGCGTCTATTGGTTGCGTCGAGTGTCCAATCTCCTCGCGAGCCACAATGCTACATTCTCACATTCCAACAGAGCAAACGCAGCGGCTGGGCGCGAGTGTTACTGCCTTTTGTCTGAATCATAGGCGCGCTCTACGGTTGATTAATGGACAAAGATTGGAGAATCGTGTCGTATGTTTTTAGGTTGTATCTCGATTGCGCGTGTCTACGAGGAAACGTTTGGTACGATGATGCGGCCGAATGTACTGTGTCCGATTTTGAGCTCAAGTTGGATGATAGTTACGCGTAGTAAATCGTAGGTATTTATAAGGCTAGTAAATGACGAATTTCCCTTGTTTATTGTTGTCACACTCCTCGCCTTTATCTAATCAGATATATATATATATATATATATATATATAATGTATACATATAAATAAAATTGGCAAGTCGACTCTGCCATTCGACTGGAGGCTTCCTACGACGTTGGGGTATTAAGCACCGGATATCATCCGCTTACCACTCGCAGTCGAATGGCAGAGCGGAAGTAGTCGTCAAATCGGCTTATCGTCCCCTCAAGTCGAACACTGATTCGGCGGGCCTCTTGGACAGCGACCGCTTCCTCCGAGCCATCTTGCAGCTCAGCAACACACCTGACCCGGACTGTGGCAAGTCACCAGCGGAGATCGTGTTCGGGAGACCCTTTCGCAACACCCTGTCGTTTGCAAAGCGTCTCCAAAAGTTTGGCGACACCGTCCACCTCGCGTCAGAGGGCCATCCGTCGTGGCGGGAAGCCTGGGCGGCCAAGGAAACCGCCCTACCTGACCGATTTGTTCGTCAGTCCGACGTATTGAACGCCCGGTCCCGGAATCTCGCACCGCTCCAGGTTGGAGACCGGGTGTTCGTTCAAAATCAGATGGGAAATTCACCGAAGCAATGGGACAAAACTGGCATTGTCGTTGAGAAGGGCGACCACGACCAGTACGTCATCAAAGTCGCCGGATCAGGCCGCCTCACCACCCGCAACAGGACGTTCCTACGTTGTTTCCGCCCCATCATGAAGACAGGCAAGGATCAAGACTTCCAGGATGCTACACTGCCACCTACAAATCACGACCCGCCTCTCATCCCTCTTCTGACAGTGCCATTGTCGCTGCCAGCACCATGTCGACCAGAGCACGTCGACGTGCCTCCATCACCTTGTCGACCTGAGCATGGCGAACCGCCTCCAGCGCCCCGTCGGCCAGAACACGACGAACCGCCTCCAGCGCTGAGTAGACAAGAGCGGGACGCGCCTCCTGACGTCGCTGATCCGATTCCGTCACATCCGCCTCCGACACCTCGTCGAATAGAGCGCAGCACCCCGCCGAACGTCGCCGATCCGCCTCCAGCTACCCATCGATCGCAGCGGAACGCTAGAGCGCCGAGAGAATATGTTCCAGAGACTGGACAGTGGACATGAGTTTGCAGCTTAAAAGCTACAAACTGGGGGGATGTGGAGTTGTGTTACATGTTTCCGTTCTCTTCTTTTGTCGTTGAACATTCTAGAACATATTTATGATGTGACGGAACGAGTCATTCTTTAAAGGACAATTGAAGTCAAATTTTATAACTTCTGTAACGTTTTTATACATAGAAATACATTCAATAACGTATTCCATTTCAAATCCGGCGCCCAATTTGTAAAAAACACATGAATATTAATCTAGGTCATGTGACGTCACAGCCCCCTGTTGAAACACGCCATTATATAGCGTAACAGTGCTAACACGCTAGCATATGTTATGCTAGGTGAAAGTATTGTTACAGCATACAACAAACATGTAGCCTGTAAATGTACTTATATTCATGTACATACATATTACCTGTGTGGATAATGCATTCACGGTATATGTACATGACTTGCGTAGAAATGTACATACATGTACAGATACATATGTGATTCGGACCGAGCGTGATAAGCCCAGTGATCAGTGTACTCGCATGCCTCACCTGGTCTAGCGTCGAACTGGTCTACAATAACCCTGATCTTCTCATTCTCATGGCAGCATATACATTCAGGTGCCGTACTCATTAATTCACAAACACTACAAAAACACCAGTATTTGTCTACAGTCCTATCTGGTACCGAAGCTTCCATTCCGCCATGTTGTGACTGTTCTGATTCTTGAGAAGTTTGTGCCGACTCTTCGCGTTGCTTTTTCAGACGATTCTCCTCAATTTCTTCTTGTGTATAATCAGGCTCAAACCTATATCCAACTGGTAAATCACTATAAATATCATCATCATCTGAGTAATCACTAGAATCATTGAAATTATCGCTTTCTGTCTCCATCTTATACACCACACGCACTATGTTTACATAATGGCGTGTTTCAACTGGGGGCTGTGACGTCACATGACCTAGACTAATATTCATGTGTTTCTTACTGCGGATTTGAAATGCGGGCGCCGGATTTGAAATGGAATACGTTATTGAATGTATTTATATGTATAAAATCGTTACAGAAGTTATAAAATTTGACTTCAATTGTCCTTTAATAATATTATGTTATTTCCGTTAGACTACTTATGGTCGCACATCATGGCTAGAAATAATAGGAAGGCAGGAAATGTAATAATTATGATTGCAGTTGCTATCTACCTGTTCTCATCAAGAATATTACCCAATTAGTTTATATATTTTACCAGCATGGCTGTGCCGCCTTTTCTATCTATATATAAAACCAACTAGGCAAGGTGCAGACGCATTCACTGAGTCACAACAAATAGCAACGTTATTTTAGGTTCTACAGTCTCTACTAACAAATTTTCCACAGCACAGCTATTCCTCGCTATGCCAATCTGCAAAGTTCCTCTTAGTAGCTAAACAAAATGATGGGGGCATTCCGGATAAAAGCACCAAACGTTTCCCATGTGCTATCCATGATCTTAGCTTTCAATTTTTGATAGGAGCCACTTTACCAAGATAGAGGAAGGCTGCGATCTTGGAATCCATCCTTCCCAAATCTGGACCTAAGCCACTTCACTATCTGGAATTGACAGCTTATCCTGGCGCAGCCACTTATTAGTGTTCGTAGCAGGGAATGGCTCACTACACGTAGCGCTGTACCACACCACGAATCCCTGCCCTTCTGCCTCGATTGCTCTACACTACTAAGCTTTGATGATTTTTTTAATAACGATATGATAATACCATGATATAAAGACACGATGAATGGCGAATGAACTGTGTATATTATCTCAGCGTATATTAAATTTGCTCTGTTCAGTGGCACACGATGGCTATAGAAGGCGTGACAGTATATTGTCGTGTGAATGTACGACGGCGATGGAAAGACAAACAAACGCCAGACGAAGACTACGTCATTAGTTGCAAAAAAAGTGTATAATAGTTAGTGTGCTCTTCATTGATCATTATCGCGCCATTACGTTCCATATCAGTGGAGGCATTCATCGACGTACGCATCTCCCACCTGGCTATACATGATTTTAATTAATTTGGTCTAATTACGGTTTATGCGGGTGACATTTAACGGAGTTCCTGGCTGGTTTGCTTGCAATCCTTGCTTGGATTGACAATCCAACAGCTGATACGCATTTTCGTGGCGGTTTCATAGTTTACAAGTGATAAATATAAACACCAACTAAATCAGTTTATTCTAAACCGATTACTTAAACGTCTTCGTCTGTTTCCAGAAGCATCGGGAAAATGATGGGGGCATGGGGCGTGTCTGAATCGGACCAGCGATCACGTGCACGTTCCACAACGCCGTGCTAGATCTACCGTCGTGAAGCCGGACGTCTCGTGAAGCCTAGCTCAAGAAGTGAGAAAACATCCTGTGCCCGGAAATTAATTGTACCCGTCCTGCGAGTGACATAGATGCGCGCGCCACAGGTGCTGTTGCCGCAGATACGCACTCCCATTGACATCAACATCTAAGTACCTTAGTGTGTTCAAGCGTTAGCTGACCAGCGCGGGTTCCTATCGCTACCCGGCTGCGCGTGACGTCACGAAGCTGTACTAATCCCGGACTCGTGCTCGCAACGAGTTCGCGTTCTGTGGGTCGTCAACGTGACGTCTAGCTAAAACACACGACAATGCTCGACTATGAGAACGCGTCGGCGAACGACAGCTATCCGTCGCCGACTCCGCCCGGTCATCCGTACCAGAAGTGGCTTCGCATCGGCGTCATCATCGTCATCTACGTCGTCTCGCTCGTCGGCAACACGTCTGTGTGCATGTGGATGTGGCGCAACAAGCAGTTCCGCGCTCGTCGCATGAACAGGTTCATCTTGCATCTCACCTGCGCCGACATGCTCGTTACGTGGTTCACGATGCTGTCACAGATCGTGTTCGAGTCGATCGGCACCGTGTGGCTGCTGGACGAAGCGAGCTGCCGCATATTCAAGATGCTGCAGAATTTCTCCATCGTGTCGTCGACGTACGTCGTGACGAGCATAGCGATCGACCGGGCTTTCGCTATCGCGCGCCCGCTCTCTCGGCCGCCTTCCGTTAACAGGTTTCTGATCGTCGCTTGGCTGTGCTCGCTCATACCGTCTATACCGAGCCTGTTTCTCTTCCACCGGAGGCAGGAGGGCGTAAACACTTACTTTTGCTCTTCGATCTTTCACGATATTCTTAGCAAGGCGATTTACCGGCAGGTGTACATGTTGTTCATATGGCTTTGCGTGTTCTTCATACCGCTGCTTATCATCCTAGTGTCGTATATCCTGATCGTGTGGACAATATGGAAGAAGGCACACGACGATGCTAAGGCAGCAGGGGCGAACCACGTCGAGACGGTTGGCAACCACGTTACGCGACGCCCCATTACCACAGGTCCCGTGTGTAACTCGAGTCTACCGAAGGCAAAGATGAAGACATTGAAGATGACAATAGTAATAGTGCTTACGTTTATTGTGTGCAACTTACCTTATTACACCCAAGAAATGATACTAGCCTTCGGCGATCCATCGATTTTGGACATGACATTCGTGGCTATTTCTGGTATAATCTCCGCCAGCAACAGTGCAGCTAATCCCTATATTTTTTTGCTGTTTAGCTCTCGCAACAAGTTTGTGTCGTCTGCTATCAACCAATTTTGTTTATCATGTATTCACTCCAAGCCAAGCAAAAGTTCATATAGTCCTCGCAGTCAGCACCGGCACGGAAACTCTGAGGATAACAGTAACCAGTATACAATTACCATGTATACAAACCGCGAAACAATGAAACAGAGTAGCGGCTCAAAACACTCGAATGAATGTAATTTTTGAGTACGAAATTTTACTTGATAGTCTTTGTTCTTCTACGTAATTTCAAAAGTCGTCAGCATATTATGAAATAATATTAGAGCTTAAAGGGCACAACCCCTCATGTTTTAACGTTTGTAACGTATCCGTTTACATGGTGTTGTAAGTTGCACAATAAACAGTCTGTTCCCCACAATATTATTGTCTCCATCGTTGACTCTTGCGAGTGAAATATTCTGTCCCACCCCTAACGATCAACGAGGCAGGTTCACATTTCCGGATGGAAGAGATGTTGTAACGTCGTTTTAAGAGTTTATGTAGAAATAATGAAGTAGAAATCCAAACTTGTGTATTAAACTGAATAAACTTTAATAACTTACACACAGTGTAGTGACATCTTGCACAGAGAGACAAAGACACGCGCCTAAGCGCGTGTGCTTACTTCCGAGACCACAACCAGACTCCCCAACTCCTGCATCTCTGTCCTATATATTACCCCCAAAACCCCTACATCCCTAGCCGCACTCCGCGTCTCTAACTAATTTATGTAACATCTGTAAATCCTATGTTACAATGTCACCTCAGGCTGTGTCGCAATATCATGGGAGGCAAAACGCCAGCTAACGCCAATGTAATGAAACAGACATCGTTCAGCTTTTACTTTTACAGCGGATTACTTTTACACAGATATATGCCTTTCACCTGTTTTCTACTCATATTTGCCTATGGGAATTTGCGCTTTATTTAGAATACTACCTCAATAATGATTGCTCAAACTTACTCATCACAATCCAGTTAGTCTCAGATGTCAGGTGGCCCTACCTGAAATTCCCGATATTTCGCGGAGATACACGAGTCCCGTCGAAAATGATTAGTTCATTGTACAGCGTAGCTGTGCGCGTCTGAAGCCAGCATGATCCGCATTTAAATGTTCTCGACGTGTTTGAACATTGTACGACACGTTTCGACTTGTGTCGCCATTCTACTTGGCGCTTGCCAAATGATAGTATTGTTTCAATCTAGAATCAAAAGAAAATCTGCAACAGACATGTCAACACGACAGCCTGCCTGGCGACTATATACAGCAACGTATTAAAAACCATGATGACATTTTGTATGATAAAAATTTACGAATTATCTGTTACAAGTTTTAAAATCTGCCCATCGCGTCATTTGTAAAAAATTATTTGAAGGCTGCGAAAAGAATACATTGTGCGTTCAGGTTCAGTGATATTCATAGCAAAGGTGACCGTAGGAGCACACTGATATCGATGAGTAACAGTACGGACAATGCACGGAAATCCCGTTCCTGTACTTCAACATCTAGATATTTAGCATATACAGAGTTCGCATAAAAACAGAAAATCTAACGTACACAACCCTATCGCGAGAAGAATTTGGAAAACTCGTGATTAACGCATGGACAAGGAAAATGAAAGCACTTCGTATTCCGCGACGAGGAGATATTCCTGTGAATCTATGCACACATAGTCTTCATATGATAATGAGCAAAGCCACAGTATCATGGACAGATGTCCATCGGAGCGCTGTAATCTGGATGTGTCCAGAATTGGTAAGATCTGATATGCGTTTAGTATGCCGTCTTAAACAGGGGCGTGTACAGGGGGGGGGGAGGAGTCCAGGAGGTCCGGACCCCCCCTGCTCGCGCAGAAAACGCATCTGAGGGGGTCTAATTTCAAAAATTTTCGGGGGGAGGGCCCACCAGACCCCCTTTCGCGTGCTCCCAAGTTTGGGTTACGGTTAGACCCCCCCTGCTACAAATCCTGTACACGCCCCTGTTAAATAATTTCTTTGGATATAATTTAATAGCGCTAGGAAGTAAAAAAATACTTGATTATGTTTAACATATTGCAATTATTCTTTTAATGTCTTAAAAATAAAAATGGATCCTATTATATAACAAACAATTCTTCATGGTTTCTTTTTAACCCTGTCTCTGAATAGAATGCAAATCTACCCCGATCTCTGGCTTTGCTATGACTGACCTATATCACCTGTCATTAGGGACCCTGAAATTGTGTCTACTACTGACGATAGCTCGATAACTACGCGATGAACATGTCCAACACACGAGTCATGCGCCAATCACTGCGCGTTGTTACGTCTGCATTAGCGGAAGCTGTGAGCGCTACGGTGGCTGGCGTTCCGGTGTAGCGCGAAATTTCTGACTTGCGAAATATCTGAGATAGCCCCGCCCCGCCCCGACCCGACCAATGACAGCTCGTCTTTGTGTTACGATAGGTTCTGTACACTTGAAGGTTTGAGTAAAATACCAAGTTCTGATACAGGGTAGCGAAGGAGCAGTGTAGGGAGTGGGAGGAAGAGGGAGGAGGAAGTTTAGAGTAGTACGGAGGTTAGAGTAGGTGGAATAGGGAGAAGC